CCAATGCAATACTGGCGATAACTGCGAATCGGTCTTTGAAGGGGATTTCTCTGATTGCCTTTCAACTCAACCATCGGCCGAAGGACTCAGTGAACATTGGACGGCAAACAACGAAGCGATCTAAATCTCAATCAAAACGGTGGTGGATTCTGGCGCAAGATCAAGATAAAAACGACAGATGTCATTGACCTCGGTCGCCCTGCTGGACGCTCGTAAAGCCATTCCTTCGGATGCAAATTACGATAAAGCGCGAAAATCCCTTAAACGCCAGCCAATTAAGAGCTGGTGGAATGTCGATGAGAAGTAGAGGATAGGAAAGCGTAGACAGATAGAGAAAGCTGCGACATAAGTAAAAGTAGCAATCTTTTTCATTTAATTAGGAGTACGGACTCAAGGAAAGTAAGTACGTGGAGCAATTAAGGAGTTTGACGTCACACTGAATCATATTCGGCGACGCCGTTCTGTTGGGCAGAACATTTTAGGGCATAATTCACCTGGTCCCCGTTGGCACAAAACCGTTCTTCACATGCATCAACTGGGCAAATACGGTTAGTTGATATCAGTCCTCTATCTGAAGTGGAAGTTACCCAGGAATTAAATCTTAAAGGTATATGGTTTTGGGCCAGAAGGGCTGTCTGCATCTCTTTTCAAGAATAGAGGTTCAGCCTTGGCTTTGAAGTTAACGGAGATCCTGGTTTCATTGTAGGAGAGGGCACAGGTTCCAAGAAACTAAAAACTGGAAACAGGTTCCAACTGAATGGCCTGAACCGGTGATCATACCAATTTACACGAAAGGCGACAGGTCCTCCGTTGGAAATCACAGAGGAATTAGTTTTATCAACATCTTCCCTTGACTTCTCGCATGTATTATACTCCGTCGATTATCTACCGCACGTGAACGGTGCACGCGTGAGAACCAGACTGGCACTAGCCTTGGTAGAGGTTATATAGACCAAATCCTCACTGTTCATCAAATTCTCCCTCCATTTCTATTTAACTTTGACATTGATTAAACTCTTGAAACAGCCCAATCCTCGTGCGAGGATAGTAGCATCGATTTACTCCCAGATGGTAGACCATCTGATCTGGAGTATGCAGACAACATTGCGTTGCTAAGTTAAGATATACATCAGTTGAAAGCCTATTCTGGATAGTTTGAGTGCTAGTGTATCTATGTTTGGTATGCGTTTTGCACCTTCAAAGTGCAAAATGCTGCTACGAGATCGGGTTGAACCAGTCTCCAACCTCACACCGATTGGGAAAGTAGTAGAAAAAATAGACAAATTTTGCTATCTGGGTAGTTACACCTCACCTGGAGGACGCGTCGGCAGACATACAGAAGGCTCAGTTGGCATTTGCCAACTTGAGATAACTGTGGCAACGTCGTGACATCCGACTGTCTGTAAAAGGTCCAGTGTATGCTGCAGTTGTTCGGTCAGTGCTGCTATGCGGTATAGACTTGGCCATTAGGAAAACAGGATAAAAACAGATTGGAAACGCTCGAACGCCTTGTCCACGTCGCATTGCAAGTAGTCGACCTCCATAGATAACGCTGGTTGGGACGTGTTGCGCATGTCACCAGATAGATTGCCACGGACAGCGATGTTTTCCGAGAGAGGTAGCGGATAGAAAAATGACAAGCGCGGTCAAACTACGACTTGACATGAGGATATGAAAACCCTAACCTGGAGACTGGGTCGCAAAGGTCCCGTTAGGCTCCCTGGCTGGGAACCCCGGGATTATGGTCACCGATAGTTAGGGACACTGAGCGATATGGTTGGGTATCGGAAACGGTGAGCTCATGCATCTACTGAATATTCTTGCAATCGCAGTCTATACGAATTCTCTATCTTCCGCTTGAAAATGCTCTCGACATTCCAATCTTCATTCTGGTCCTTCATTTCAAATGGGCGGCGGAAGGATAGCAACTTAAACTGGCGCACGAAAGTTTACGGTTATTGGTTGCAAAAGCTGAACTGAAATAGG